TTGACTGCTAACCAGAAGGCTGGCGGTTCAAACCCACCAGCCACTCCTTGGAAGGAAGGTTGGGCAATCTACTTTCGTAGTGATACTGCCTCGGAAACCCAAGGAGGGGGTCGCAATGAGTCCGGGCTGACTCGACGGCACATAACAACAACAACAACAATTGAGAACTCACACCCATAGTATTACCATTATCCAAGCCAATTTCAGGTTAACTCTGCTTCTGTGAGCTCAGATGAAAACCCCATGAAGATGCTGGTAACAGTAATTATCCTTGGCAAAAAGGATGGGTTTGCACATGAGGATGGAAGGAGACTTTCACTTTGTGTGTGATATTTGGAATTACTTGTCTAATTTAACCCTTGTTTTCTTATCATTTAATTAAAACTACTGTACAAGTGGAGTTTTGGAATAGAACTTATTTATAAATCAGAGACTGCCCATAGGAATGTTCCTCTACAATGCCCTCTTGCCCTTTGGAGGGTGCAGATCAGCTCCTAATGAGCTTCCATCACCTACAAGAGGAAACTTGCCCCTGTAATTTTAATTTAGACACTTACTCTTTTTTTATTTATTTTTATTTTGTTGTTGTTGAGAATATGCACAGCAAAAAATACACCAATTCAGCTGTTTCCACATGTACAATTCACTTACATTAATTACGTTCTTTGAGTTACGCAAAATTCTCATATTTCTTTTCTGAGCCGTTCCTCCTGCAGTAACATAAACCCACTGCCTCATCAGGTTCCTATCTAATCTTTCTAGTTGCTGTTGTCAATTTGATCCCATATAGATAGTTCATAAAAGAGCATTATTCTGGTTACCTAGTGCCCCTATGACAAGAATACACCACAAATGGGAGGGTTGAACAAACAGGAGTTTATTCTCTTACAGTTTGGAGGCATTAAATCCAGGTTTAAAGTGCCAGGCTCTAGGGGCTGGGTGAAATCCCCTCAACCTTGGGCTTCAGCTCGGCCTCCTGCTCCCGGCCCACTGAAGCAGGAGGTTTTTCTTCTTCACTCAGCTGTGGCTGCTGGGGTGACAAGCCCAAGTTGACAAGTAAAAAGGCACAGTCCTGATGTTACCAAACCACACAGCAGGCCATTAATTCAAGTTCACTGAAAGTCCCAAGGTCGGCAGAGCATGGTAGGCTGCTGAACAATGACATAGCTACAAGCAGGGTTTAAGTGTGCCATAAGCTGGAGTGCGTTCCCCAAGGCTTCTCCTTACATACAGGAAGCAGACCACAGCCCTAAGGCAGCTACTCAGCTGCTCACAGTCAATTCTGCCATGGAGTTGATTACCAGTCTCATCATGGGGAATACTACATCCAGCTGCCCAGCCACTCAACCAGGCCCAGCCAAGTTGACACACAAACTTAACCACCACAAGCAGAATGCTCAAGGCAGACCCTTTTTCACTGGTTAAGCTAAACTCTTGTTTGGTGTTAAGATAACTTCAGGGGATATTTTTGATTTAGTTTTAAAGTTTATCTTAGGTCATCAGTTTCAGGGGTCTAGATACTCATTCTTTGCTAGGTCTTTTATGGCTTTGATAGAAGACAAGTCCATTTCAACCTCCAAATTTTTGTTCAGTTTAACTTATTCAAACTAGAATTTTCTCATCCGTATTGTCCTCTGGTGGCATAGTGTGTAAGACATTTGGCTGCTAACTAGAAAGTCAGTGGTTCAAACCCCACCAGCTGCTCCACAGGAGGAAGATGAGGCGATCTACTTCCATAAAGATTTACAGCCTTGGAAACCTAATGGGGGTTGCTATAGTCAGAATTGACTTGATGGCAGTGTTATTTATTTATTTTGGTTTATATTATCCATGTTTTCAAGTCCAGCTCATTTCATGGTAAATTTCAGTCTCCTCTCACATCTGAAGGTGCCATCACCACTTCTGGCTTCCTTACCTCTCACCTGCATCACTTATCATCTGAATCTTATCAGTTTACTGCCTTGATCTTAAAATATATCTAATACAGAGACCCAGATCATCATTTTTTTTTCAGTCTTCCAAAGAACTTAAAGGGAGCTCTGGTAGTGTAATGCCTAAGGCACTTGACTGCTAACCAGAAGGCTGGTGGTTGAAACCCACCAGCCACTCCTCGGAAGGAAGATGGGGTAATCTACTTCTGTAGTGATACTGCCTCAGAAACCCAAGGAGTGGTCGCTATGAGCTGGGTCCGACTCGAGGGCACATAACAACAACAACAACAACAAAGAACTTAAAAAGGCTTGCATAAGCACCTATTGCTCAATTGGCACTTGTACATAGATTAATTTCTAGGAGTCATTGTCTTTTGATTTTCACTATCCACTGAACAGATGCCTAATATATTCCCTGTTGGAGGCATTTTGCAATGTACCAGTGATCCTTCACTTACCAGCATCGTGTTCACAGAATGGACCATCACCTCAGCATATGGTTTCAGGGTGTTAAGGTGAAATCCGGGCATTAGCAGGCAGCGGTGCTGGAACCACTTGGCTCCATCTGGATTCAATAGTCCTTGTCCTTGAAAAATAAAAGGCATAAAAACTCATGCCATTTAATTAGATGAGAGAAAGAAGGAGTGGTGAGGAACACAGACAGCACAGCACGATCGTGATGCACAGGTAGTTGTGAAATATCAGAGCAGTGGTGATATATTAGGATTGAGGTGAGCATTATGCAAAACATCCTAAGTTTTGAAGTCTGGAATCATCCTGAAATCCTGAATCGTGAAATCATCAATTACTACCATCAAAGAGAGAAATTGACAACAGCTATCTTGCTTTGATTTTGGAGTTTTCTTACTCACAAAAGCAAATGTTCACTTCAGAAAATCCTTGACAAAATTAATCTTCCATTGGAATTCCACCCCTCCCCTCCTCAAATTTGCAAACCCTTTCCTTCCTATTCAAAGTCAGGCTTACTAAATGTGAATTTCAAAACATATGACTGGGTATAGGAGCAGAGATCATTTTGTGAACTGATATCAGTTGATCTCAGTAAAAGGAGAGGTCAGGGTTCAATTAATCATGTTAAAATTAGCCAGTGATTGATCTTCTAAGTTTCTCCCTATTCTCTTTATAAACATCATTGTACCTAGCTTCTTTGAGCCATTTGTTTTTCCTAGAATCAAAATGATCTCCCTATAGGCCTATAGAATAACTGCTCAGAATAAACCTTATGTCCAAATTTCACTGAGCTTTTATTATTTTTATTATTATTATTTTTACTATGTAGTGGGTTTATTAAGGCTGGGGCCTGAAGTAGGTGGGCCCGGGGTTTGGGGTCTGCTTTTCCCTTTGGAGCAGCTCTATAAGGCCAGAGCCCAAGGTAAGCAGGCCCAGGGCTGGGGGCTGTTTTTCACCTGGAGGTGGCTCTATATTAAGGCTGGGTGGGGCCTGAGGTAGTTGGGCCTGGGGCTTGGAGGCTGCTTTTCGCTTGGGTGTGGCTCTATTTTAAGGCCAGGGCCTGAGGTAGGCAGGCCCAGGGCTAGGGGCTGCTTTTCCCTTGGGGGTAGCTCTTTATTAAGGCTGGGGCCTGATATAGGTAGGCTGGGGCTGGGGGCTGCTTTTCACTTGTGGGTGGCTCTATTTTAAGGCCATTGCCCGAGGTAGGCAGGTACAGAGGGGCTAGGAACAACTAAGGGAAATGAACTTGTCCATCAGTTTGTCATCCTGTGGTAGCTTAGGTGTTGCTGTGAGGCTGGAGGCTATGCTACCATGTTGTAAAATGCCAGCAGGGTTACCCATGGTGGACAGGTTTCAGCGGAGCTTCTGGGCTAAGACAGACTCGGAAGAAGGAAGAGGCCATCCACCTCTCAAAGAATTGGCCAGGGAAAGCCTTATGAATAGCAGTGAAACAGTGTCTGATATATTACTGGAAAACTTTTTGAAAAGCCCTGAAACATTGTCTGATATAGTGTTGGAAGATGAGCCCATCAGGTCGGAAGGCACTCAGAATTTGACTGGGGATGAGCTGACTCTCAGAATAGAGATGATCTTAATGATGTGGATGGAGTAAAGCTGTTGGGACCTCCATTGGCTGATGTGCACGACTCAAAATGAGTAGAAATATGCAAACATCCATTAATAATCAGAACATGGAATGTACAAAGTATGAATCTAGGAAAATTGGAAGCTGTCAGAAATGAAATGGAATGCATAAATATCTATATCTTAGGGATTGCTATTGTTGTTATGTGCCGTTGAATAGGACCTGACTCATAGCAACCCCTCCTTGGGTTTCCAAGGCAGTATCACTATGGAAGTGGATTGCCCAACCTTCTTTCCAAGCAGTGGCTGGTGGGTTTGAACTTCCAGCCTTCTGGTTAGCAGTCAAGTGCCTTAGGCACTATGCTACCAGAGCTCTATCTTAGGCATTAGTGAGCTGAAATGGACTGATTTTGGCCATTTTGAATCAGACAACCATATGATCTACTATGATGGGAAAGACAAATTGAAGAGGAATAGTGTGGCATTCATTGTCACAAAGACTGTTTCAAGATGTGTTCTGATTTATGATGTTGTCAGTAATAGGATAATATCCACACGCCTACAAGGAAGAGCAGATGATACTACTATTATTCAAATTTACACACCCACCACAAAAGCCAAAGATGAGGAAATTAAAGATTTCTACCAATTTCTGCAGTTTCACATTGACTGAACATGTAATCAAGATGTGTTGATTATCACTGGTGACTGTAATGCAAAAATCAGAAACAAAGAAGAGTTACCAGTAGTTACAAAATCCTTGGTGATAGAAGTGCTGGAGATCACAGGATAGAATTTTGAAAGACCAACAACTTATTCATTGCAAATACCTTTTCTCAACAAGATAACTGAAGACTATACACATGGACTACACTAGATGGAGTACACAGGAGTCAGATTAACTACATCTGTGGCATGAGGTGATAGAGAAGTTCAATATCTTCAGCCAAAACAAGGCTAGGAGCTGATTGTGGAACAGACCATCAACTGCTCATATGCAAGTTCAAGTTGAAGCTAAAGACAATTAAAAGAAGTCCATAAGAGCCAGAATATGACTTTGATATCATCCCTCCTGAATTTAGAGACCATTTAAAGAATAGATTTGATGCATAGAACACCAATGACTGAAAACAAGAGGAATTGTGGAATGATATCAAGAACATCATCCATAAAGAGAGGTCACTAAAAAGACAAGAAGGGAAGAAAAGACCAAAATGGATGTCAGAAGAGACTCTGAAACTTGCCCTTGAATGGAGAATAGCTGAAGCAAATGGAAGAAATGAAAAGATAAAAGAGCTGAATAGAAGATTTCAAAGAGGAGCTCATGCAGACAAGGCCAATTACTGTAATGAAATGTGCAAAGACTTGGAGTTAGAAAACTAAAAGGGTTTTCTCAAGCTTGGCATTTCTCAAGCTGAAAGACCCAAGGAAAAAAAATTAAGCCTTGAGTTGCAATATTCAAAGATTCTATGGGAGCTCTGGTAGCATAGTGGCTAAGACACTTGCGTGCTAACCAGACGGCTGGCGGTTCAAACCCACCAGCCACTCCTCGGAAGGAAGGTTGGGCAATCCTACTTCCGTAGTGATACTGC